AAAATACAAATCTGACGCGTTGCAGCCTACATAGCCGTGTAGGCTGGAATGCGTCCACTTGTTGTATTTGCAATTTTTACACTATGGTCTTCTAATAACTGCAAGATTTTAAACAGCAACGGTGGTCATGTGGATCCTTTTTCATCAAATATAGAGCATCTATAGGTGCGAGCCTTGAACGAGCACACACAAGCGTTGCCCCGTAGGACCCTCCAAGGGTAAGAAGCAACCCTTTAATATGAATATTTTGTCCAGCACTGGGGGACAACCCCGTAACAATAGAAAGGAACACATAAGGGGATTGAGGAGCAGTATTGCATATAAGGTAATGAATCAGCATTTGAAATGGGGAAACAATATATCTTTTAATACCACTTTAATGATAAGGTTGAAACACACATATACTGAACCTTTTTAATGGCTTATAATCTATGTGGTAGGGTGTAAGGCGTACGTGTTGTGTGTGTATTTTATATCTTTACACATTAGATAAAATCTGAATTAAAAAAGAATCCACTGACAAAGCACTTTCTTCTACTTGAAGTTACCTGCACTGTTTATTGCACAGCTGTTGTTACACCCTGAGCCCATACTTTGTTCCTCTTTGACTCCCATGAGTAAGGTAAATATTGTAATCTGATTTTGCTCTATATAGCTCTTTGGACACTAAACTGAAGTATCAACTATCCCCTGCATGCTATTTCATTGCAGGTTACAGTTTTATGGTGATTATCTGTTTCCTAGCCTGCTGTTGCTACAACTATGAGCTAGAGAAATATCTGTAATCTACCTTCATTGTAAAAGTGTTTATATAATTATGTCCCTTAACAGCTTCCCGTCTGCCCATCGCTTATAGACAACAGACGGGCAAGCAGCCTGATGTACAGTTCAGGGGCCGACTGACAACTCATGGGGCCCCCGGGCAATAGGGGATCATGGGGCCCCTGTGTCCTTGTCCAAGCTCAAAAAAGCCTATGATAAAGGTACCAGGGGCATCTCATGGGGCCCCCTACTGACCCCGGGCCCTCGGGCAGTGCCAGAGTTTCCAAATGGTCAGTCTGCCCCTGGTACAGGTACATTAGCCCACATCTGCACTGTTTCCCACCTGCTGTCTATAAGCAAGGGAGGGGAGTGGTTAAGGGCAGCTCACAGAGTGCGCACCAGGGAGCCCAGCGATCCGCGTGTCACTGGGACACAGCAGATCACATTACCACTGTGTTGGGGTGATCACATGGTGTTTTACCATGTAATTGCTGTGTCCAATCACAGCAATTATTTAGTAAACCATAAAAGGTAAAAGTAAAGTTCGGTTCTCTCTGCTTTCAATGTGAGAGCAGAGAGAAGCGATGCTGCAGTCTGTCAGGCTACTTGTACACTCACAGACTGCAGTGCCAGCCACCTCAATGTCCCTGATCACTGCCCCAGTGAAATGTAAATAAAAATCACTGCCATTCACTATACCAGTGCCCTGATCACTGCCATACACCACACCAGCACCCTGATCACTGCCATACGTCATACCAGCACCCTGATCACCGCCATACCCCATACCAGCGTTCTTATCACCGCCAAATTTTTATTATTACTGTTATTTTACAGGATTTACATAGCGCCAACGGTTTGCTCAGCGCTTTACATTATAGAGAAAGGAGACAATACAGTAACAATACAGTTCAATACAAGAGGGATTAGTGGCCCTGCTCCTTGGAGCTTACAATCTAGGAGGGCTGGGGGTGAATGGTACAGTAGGGCAGGGGGATGGAGTGGTTGGAAGAGTAGAGGATACTAGAATTAGCAGAGGGCAGGATAGGCTTCCCTGAAGAGAAAGGTTTTCAGTGAACGCCGAAAGGCAAGTAGAGTAGGTGATATTCTGATAGATTGGGGTAGGGAGTTCCAGAGGATGGGTGACGCCCTGGAGAAGTCTTGGAGATGAGCATGGGAGGAGGAGATAAGGGAGCTAGAGAGTAAGAGGTCTTGCGAGGAGCGGAGTGTAAGGTTTGGGTGATATTTAGAGAGAAGATCGGTTATGTACCGTATTTTTCGCTCCATAAGACGCACCTGACCATAAGACGCACCTAGGTTTTAGAGGCGAAAAACAAGAAAAAAAAATATTCTGAACCAATGGACTGCAGATATAGTACAGGGGATGACCAGAAACTGCGGACACAGTACAGGAGATAACCAGAGACTGCGGACATACTACAGGAGATGACCAGAGACTGCGGACACAGTACAGGAGATGACCAGAAACTGCAGACATACTACAGTAGATGACCAGAGACTGCGGACACAGTACAGGAGATGACCAGAGACTGCGGACATAGTACAAGAGATGACCAGAGACTGCGGACACAGTACAGGAGATGACCAGAGACTGCGCGACATACAGTACAGGAGATGACCAGAGACTGCGGACATACTACAGGAGATGACCAGAGACTGCGGACATAGTACAGGAGATGACCAGAGACTGCGGACATACTACAGGAGATGACCAGAGACTGCGGACATAGTACAGATGACCAGAGACTGTGGACATAGTACAGGAGATGACCAGAGACTGAGGACACAGTACAGGAGATGACCAGAGACTGCGGACACAGTACAGGAGATGACCAGAGACTGCGGACACAGTACAGGAGATGACCAGAGACTGCGGACACAGTACAGGAGATGACCAGAGACTGCGGACACAGTACAGGAGATGACCAGAGACTGCGGACACAGTACAGGGATGGTCAGAGACTGCGGACACAGTACAGGGATGGTCAGAGACTGCGGAAAAACTAGAGGAGACAGTCAGAGACTGCGGACACAGTACAGGAGATAACCAGAGACTGCGGACATAGTACAGGGGATGACCAGAGACTACGGACATAGTACAGGGAAAATACCAGGGACACAGTACAGATGACCAGAGACTGCAGACATAGTACAGGGGATGACCAGAGACTACGGACATAGTACAGGGAAAATACCAGGGACACAGTACAGATGACCAGAGACTGCAGACAGTGCAGGGAATGACCAGAGACTGCAGACAGTGCAGGGAATGACCAGAGACTGCAGACAGTACAGGGAATGACCAGAGACTGCAGACAGTGCAGGGAATGACCAGAGACTGCAGACAGTGCAGGGAATAACCAGAGACTGCTGACCTTTGGGGAGGGAGGGGGAGCGGGTACCTGAATTTGACAGGTACCCGCTCCCATTCCGCGGAGGTGTCTTTCCCTCTTCTTCCCGCGCCGACTTCTGTGACAGCCGGGTGCCCACTGCGCATGCGCGAGACGCGCTGCGCTTTGTGAATGGCCCGGCGCCTTCTGGGACCTGTCATGTGTCCCAGAAAACACTGGACCATTCACAAAACGCAGCGCATGCGCAGTGGGCACCCAGCTGTCACAGAAGCTAGCGCGGGAAGACGGATGCAGCGCTGGAGCGAGGAACAGGTAAGGCCCTGCAGGAGAGAAGAGCTGAGCTGCCAGATCGGTATTCTGACATGGTGGCAGCAGAAATACTGGACCGGCCGCTTTATATTCGCTCCATAAGACGCACTGACATTTTCCCCCCTTATTTGGGGGGAAAAAAGTGCGTCTTATGGAGCGAAAAATACGGTAAATTGGGGCAGTGTTGTGGATGGCTTTATATGTCATTGTCAGAGTTTTGAATTTTATCCGTTAGGCAACTGGGAGCCAGTGGAGGGATTGGCAGAGAGGGGTGTGGTGGATACGGAACGGTTAGTGAGGTGGATGAGTCTGTTAGCAGCGTTCATGATAGACTGGAGGGGGGATAGTCTACAATGAGGTAGGCTAATGAGGAGGGAGTTACAGTAGTTGAGGCGTGATATGACAAGGGAGTGAATGAGTTGCTTAGTGGTTTCCGGGGTTAGGAACGGTTGTATCGTGGAGATGTTGCGGAGGTGAAGTCTACATGATTTTGTCAGCGATTGGATCTGGGGCTGGAAGGACAGATGGGAGTCTAGGATTACACCTAGTACCCTGGCGTGAGGGGATGGACTGAGGATGGTGTTAGCAATGTCAGTGGGGGCAGTGCGGGCAGGGGGGAATACTAGGAGCTCAGTTTTGGAGAGGTTGAGTTTGAGGAAGTGGAGTGCCATCCAGGCCGATAGTAGGCTAACAATACAGTTGGAAACTGAAGGGGTGAGGTGAGGGGTAGACAGATAGATTTGCGTGTCATCAGCATAGAGATGGTAGTTGAAGCCGTGGGAGTTTATCAAGTGACCAAGGGAGGAGGTGTAGAATACATGCCAACACCCTGATCACCACCATACGCCATACTAGCGCCCTGATCACTGCCATACCGGCACCCTGATCACAGCCATACCAACACCCTGATCAACACCATACGGTATACCAGCGCCCTGATCCCCGCCATACGCCATACCAGCACCCTGATCACTGCCATACCAGCACCCTGATCACCGTCATACACCATACTAGTATCCTGATCACTGCCATACCCCATACCAGCACCCTGATCACCACTATAAGCCATACCAGTGCCCTGATCACTGCCATATGCCATACCAGCAACCTGATCACCATTGTACACCATACCAGCATCCTGATCACCGCCATACCCTATACCAGCATGCTGATCACTCAATAGGCCATACCAGTGTCCTGAGCACCGCTATATGCCATTCCAGCATCCTGATCACCCCCATACACCATACCAGCATCCTGATCACCCCATACACCATACCAGCATCCTGATCACCCCCATATGCCATACCAGCATCCTGATCACCACCATACATCACACCAGCACCCTGATCACTGTCATAACCCATAACAGCATCCTGATCACTGCCATACATCATACCAGCAACCTGATCACCGCCATACCATACGGTATACCAGCGCCCTGATCCTCACCATACGCCATACCAGCACCCTGATCACTGCCATGCCAGCACCCTGATCACCGTCATACACCATACTAGTATCCTGATCACTGCCATACCCCATACCAGCATGCTGATCACTCAATAGGCCATACCAGTGTCCTGATCACCGCTGTATGCCATTCCAGCATTCTGATCACCCCCATACACCATGCCAGCATCCTGATCACCTCCATACACCATACCAGCATCCTGATCACCCCCATATGCCATACCAGCATCCTGATCACCACCATACACCACATCAGCACCCTGATCACTGTCATACCCCATAACAGCATCCTGATCGCTCCCATACACCATACCAGCATCCTGATCACTGCCATACATCATACCAGCAACCTGATCACTGCTATACCCCATACCAGCATTCTTATCACTGCCAAATGCCATGCCAGCACCCTGATCACCACCATACGCCATACCAGTGCCCTGATCATTGCCATATGCTATACCAGCACCCTGATCACTGCCAAACGCTATACCAGCTCCCTGATCACTGCCAAACGCTATACCAGTGCTCTGCCATACCAGCACCTTGATCACAGCCATACCAACACCCTGATCAACACCATACGCTATACCAGCACCCTGATCCCCACCATACGCCATACTAGTATCCTGATCACTGCCATACCCCATACCAGCACCCTGATCACCTGATTTTGAATGGGCTCAAATTGCACCGGATCGCACCAAAGTAGTGTGTGCACCTTTCTTGGAGCTGCACCACGTGCGCATCGCGTGGACATTTTGTACCATGCAATCCAGTGCAGGCAAACCGCACTGTAATTGCGATGTATTTGGGGTGTAGTTAACTCTGCATTGACCCCTGCAATTGATCGCACACAGTGCAATTGCAATGCAAAGCAGGAAGTGTGCAGAGATCATTGCGTTTCTGGCACCGCATATGTGTGAACCTAGGCATAGTCCCAAGATAGGAGTAACCTTTTGACTATTCTCATATATATATTAATTGCATTTATAGATTGTTGTAACCATATGATATCTTAAACCAATTCAGACTAGTAAACTGAGGCCAAGGAATTGCATGAATGTCTTGTAACCATTTTACTGCCCATCCTGACGAAGTAGATTTAGCTATGAAATGTAGTGACCTCAACTTGCTTCCAGTGAAATAGAACACCAGTACAATAAATATACAGTATATACTGTATAAGTGGTCTCACGAAAAACAGTGTCATTATATTTGATTTTCAATCTTTGTATATTGTGAGTAATACTTTTAGAAATATTTTGAACATGTGTATTTAATTTGTATTCCTGGGTGCCATCTTATAAAGTCCCTGGTTTTTAGGTTGGTGTAGTTATTTTTCAGTTTGGAATGATGGCACGCTAGGACTTTCATCGTTCCCCCCCCCCCCCAACCCTTTATTGAGTCACAGGTATACAGTATATAAAGTAGTTTGCCAATAGCCTCAACACAGCAGCCTTTATTTTTTTAATCCACCCTGTAACATAGTTTTGTTACCTGTTCATCCTGCAACTACGTATGCTATATTTCAACTTTCTTTAACAGACCAAGCTGTGCAGTAAAAGTGGCAGTAAGCCCTCAGTTCACATTGAGCCTTTTTTCTTTTCAGTATTTTTAATTAAAGTTTTACAAAATACAATATGAAGTGAATGTGTGTTTTGTTTATCACAAGTTCAAAGGTAACTCACAAATTAATTGAATAGAGTAGAAAAACCATTTCATTTAACATCTTAAAGATCAACAATAGCATACTTAACACACTTGGGCATTTTTTAGCTCACTTGACTACACCTGACTACACTCACCATGCAGAATCACATTCTTTCCAGTTGTCCCTGTTCACACTTGTACGCTCAGTTGCCCTACATTCTATGCCGTTCTTTTTTTTTTTCTTAGCATAGTCAGGTGTTTTTCTCCCCATAGACTTCAATGGGAGCATCTGTAAAGGCACAATACAAGTAGGTTTAGAGGGGATGGGCAGCACAGTGGCTAAGTGGTGAGCACAGCTGCCTGGTAGCACCAGGGTTGTCGGTTCAATTCCCAACCAAGGCACTACCTACATGAAGTTTGCATGTTCTCCCTGTGCCCAGTGGTGTATTTAGGTTTTGTGCTGCCCTATGCAACAGATATATTGAACGCCCCTCCTCCCTTACGTAGAGATCCTGACACCAACCAACACCAGATCCCCTCACCCGCGGAGAAAGCCTGACAGTGACCAACAACACCCCTCCCCCATCATCCCCCCCACCCAAGAGAGCCCCTCCCCAAGACCCCCCCCCCCCGGCAGGCGACAGGTACAAAGACACTCACCTTTACAGTTCTAGACATCCCCAGGAAGACAAGCGGGCTCTGCATACACCATCAAGCAGCCGATAGACTCTCTCAGATCCCACCTGCTCCCCATACTGCATATGTCCCTTCTTCCAGGGGGCAGTGCTGCCTTCCTAAAAAATGCCGCCCTAGGCAAATGCCTTATTTGCCTTGTGGTAAATACGCCCCTGCCTGTGCGGGTTTCCTCCCACATTCCAAAGACATGATGGTAGGTTAATTGGCCCTAGTATAATTATGAATATGTTAGGGGCCTTAGATTGTAAGTTCCTTGAGGGCAGGGACTGATAACAATGAATAATACACTGTGTGTGTGCAAAGTACTGTGTAAGTTGATGGTGCTTTATAAGCACCTGAAATAAAAAATGAGACAAAATGTTTACAACTGTAGTTTAGTGGGGTTTTGCTGATCACATGATTGGCTCTCACTGGCCGGCTTCAGGGGATAGGAGGGACAGTCAAAAAAAGATGCCCCATAGCATGCCTATGGGTGATGTCAACGCCTAGGCATTTCATCTATTGTTGATGCTCTGTCCTCTCCCCTGAAGCTGGCTGCTGGGAAGATCACGTGACTGGGCTGGAGCACCCTGAGAATAGGTAAGTATATGCATCTTCCTTCTATAGGGTAATTAGTATAGGTGTTAGAATGGTAGAATGGGGGAGGAGGGGGGCTGGGAACAATTTTAAGCTTAGTTAGTTTTAGCTTTGAGTTCCACTTTAAATTAGGAAGACTGGTCTGGATTTTGTTTTTTTGAATTGCTGTACTTTGATGCCCACGCTCTTTACTACCAGTCAGCATTCAATAGAATCCAACAGTTTCTTCAAGCCCCCTTTTATCTGTTTGTAAAGTGGATCTATCTCTTTACAATGGTATACATGGAATTTGGATCCTTGCAACAAATGTCTTGATGACACCATGTGAAGCTTCTATAGAGGCCCTGCTGTGCTGGATCTGAAGGTGCTCATTGGTTTTGGGCCCCTGTACATGGCTAGGCTCCCAAAATGTCTCACACATGTGGCATCAGCATACTCGGGAGAAGTATCAGAATTTGTTTTGGGATGTAATTCTACATATACACATGGCATGTATCTGAAATATCTAATTAAACTAAAAACTTTTTGTAAGAAAATATTTTTTTCAAAAAATTGTGGCAAAAAATAAAATCTGCCATGCACTCAACATGTCTCTCAGCAAAAACCTTGGGGAGTTTACTTTTCAAAAGGGGGTCATTGGGGGGGGGGGGGGGGATTATACTGCTGTGGCATTTTAGCGCCTCAAGAAATGTGATAGTAAAATTCCTGAAATGCTGCATAGATTGTAGACGCTATAACGTTCACATAGACCAATATACACTTATGAGGATTTTTATTACCAAAGACATGTAGAATACATTTAGGCCTAAATGTATGATGAAATGTGATTTTATTTGATATTTTTTTTTAACAGAAAGAAAAAAAAATATTTTTTTTTCTCAAATGTTTTTTTTTCTTTTATATAATAAAAAATCCCGTGGCGATCAAATACCACCAAAAGAAAGCTCTAAATTTCATTTGGATACAGTATTGCATGACCAAGCAATTGCTAGTTAAATAAGGCAGTGTTAAATAGCAAAAAATGTGCTGGTCATGAAGGGGATAAAACCTTCTGGAGCTCAAATGGTTCTAGTCTTAGTAATTCTGTTTATGAGAGTCAGGGTTTGCTACCATGTACAGTATGTACAGCACTGTGTTGTCACATGCACTTCTCTGTCACACATAATTGTGCATAAAAAGGTGCGGTAGAAGGACAGGTGATGTTCACATACAGATTCTTCTGGATGATTCAGCCCTCATCATGAAAGTCAATAAAAGTGCTGCAGCTGGTCCCGCTGTCAATCTGGTGATGTTTTATTACAGTAAAAATGAGGAGTACAAAGCTGATGTGTACTTTTGACCTCACTCATTCTTAGGTATGTATTACAGGGTTTTTGTGTTAGTCCCCGGAATGAGAACTGAACTGGATGTTTTGTGTTCGGTCTCCAGCACTTTATACCTCACAGAACAAGAGCTTCAGGTGTGCCTGTATTTCTTTATCTCTGACACATGTGTCAAGTAGCTGACATGGACTTTATGAAAGCACACTGAGCATTTTAGAATGAAAGACAAATCAACATTATGAAGAACACACAAACCGCTTCTTGTGAAACATTAGCACCAGGTAAAGTCAGGCAGGCGTGATGAGGATTAATAAGATCCAAGTATATGGATGTGCCGTGTCACTGAACATTAATCACTGGGGTATCAAAAGCAAGGGAGGAATTCATAAAGAACATTGCCATAACACCAACCATAACAGTACCGACCCTGAAAATTCATTATCACCGCAGGTCATTGGTGTAATATTTGATTAGTGATACTTTGGAGTTTATGGACTATTCATGTCTTCAAATAAAAGATGGGTCATTGGTGTGCATGGGTGTCATTACATTTACATGTACATAAAAACAAACATGTATGAGAGTCTCTGAATACGAACAGTTTGTGGTTGTCTAGCAATCACCTTTTATCAGCAATTCCTACCTTTGATAGGTAGTGAGCCACACCATGATATTACACATAGAGCTTAACCTCTTGGCACCGGCCAAACACAAATGTGCGGCCTCCTGGCGTCTGGGCTTAGATGCCGAGCAGCAGCACATTTGCTTTCTATTAAAAAAAAACATATGTGCTGAGAGCGCACGCCCTGCACGCTCCCAGCACATTTGTCCGGTACTCACGGAAAGATCCCGATCTCCTCTTTCGATTGGGACTGTCACAGTATGGGAGCCTGCCAATTATTAATCCCCTTATTAATGCCTTGTATCACATGCCCTCAGTGTCCTGCTCTGTATTGTTCCAATTGTCCCCTGTGTCACTAGGCCAAATGGCCTAATCGAATTACTCTGGGCCCCCTCCCTCCCAGCCAGCTGGCTGGGAGCTCTCTGCACACCTCCCTACTTGCTTTTCATCTGTGCAGACATCATCCCTGCTCCCAGGATGTCCCTGTCACCAGCCTGATTCTCCCTGGGGTCTAGTGTTCCCTTCCCCCTCCGGTTGCCAAGGCAACCGGGGAGCGTCCTGCAGCAGTTTAAGAGGTGGATGCTGGGAGCTCCGTATTCATTCCGGAGTGGTGTCAGCAAAGGATCTCAAGCTTCGGCGAGACCTTTGTGAATAGACTCTGCAAGTCTACTCCCCAGCCTCACGGAGACCCCACAGGAGGGAAGAGACAACCAGAGAAAGCCTACCTACGATTGCGAGAGACCCCACAGAAGGGGGAGAGACTATCCCAGCCTGCCTGTTTTTTGCCAGAGACCCCAC